CCCCCAAACGGGGAGGAAGCCTCCAGCTCAGATTATCCATCTTCCCCACAGGAGACGCATTCATTAGTTAATTAGAACAACAATCCTCGTGGGCTCATCTAGGATTTATTGCTGTGCTGGCAGGAGATTTGCTGACTGCAGGTGAGCCCTGGGGGAAAAGCTCCTCTGGAGGACGCAGCGCCCAGAGCCCACCGGGATTTACCTCCCCTCCTGCTGAGCCAGGAGCCCCTGGATTGCACTTGTTCCAGGTCCATTTAATTTTAGCCAAAATACTCCTCTGCAAAATGTGGAGCCCTGGGTTTTACCCCTGGAGGTGGTGAAGCATCTTTATAGAAAGTAAGAATAAACCGTAGTACTCCCCTCGGTGTAGGCACCACTCACACTCCAACAGGAAGATTCAATGTGATTTCTTTAATACAGCTTCCATTGAGAGCACTGTTCATACATAACAACATATTGCTTAGTGCTTGGGTCTCTCAAGGGAAATTTTAGTGGTGGTGTTTGAGTGAGGGAAATAGTTTTTATGAGAAAACTTTAATCTGCAAACGATAAAGAGAACAGTGGCTTTGCATCCCATGTCAGCTTCTGCTAACATGGCTTTATCTTCCTCTGCAGGCTTGCTTCTTAAGATAAATTTATCCAGGATTGCATTTGGTGTAGCAGTTTGATTTCAGTTGGTGTGAGGCTGATTTCTCACGAGAGTAACTGCCTTAATTTCCTACCACTTGGCAGCAAGCGCAGCTGCACTTTGTACTTGTAGACTTTGTTCTGGCAGTCGCAGCCTGCAGGAGATCCTTCCCCCGCTCCCCGGCCGGGTCGTGCTGAGGCTGCTCCTTCAGCAGCATCCCTCTGTGTTGATATATGGGCCCTGGATGTCTGCTCCAGGGCTAGAAACCCTTTTCAAAGGACAAAGGCTTGCAGGACACACAGGTTCTACCCCAAGATTCATCTGAAGGAGGTAGGTCCAGGTCACAGCGCTCTGGTGCACCCCTGGACACCTCCAAAATCTCATTGCTACAGCAACACCTCGAAGTTGGCATCGTGAAATTATTTGCAATTTGATGCTGATGCCAAGATCTTCCTCAAAGCCTTTTTGGGGGTTGTTTTGCTCTGGTTTTCCATGTAACTTCATCCCCTTTCCCATGCTCTTCATTTTGACACAGCTCCCCTCCTTGAGGAATCACCTTTCCCACCCGTTCGCCTGCTCCACTCCTCGGCCATGCTGGCCCTGCAAATCTCGTTAAAGGACGTGTTCATTTACTGGAAGTCTCCAGCATGCTGCTGTGAGTAATTCTCATGATGTCTGGAGGCGCTCTGCCCTCCTGGCTGCTCTATTAATGTCTTTTAGCAAGCTCCCTATTTCTATGCAGTTCCCTCGATGAAGTTAAGCGCAACTCAAGTGGCTTTTCCGCTCGGTGAGCAGCTCTTCAGCAGCCCTCTTCTAAATTGCAAGGGATAAAGTCCTGAGTCTGGCCCCCCTGCGGGTTCCCCCAGCAGCCTCTCCCAGAAACTCAATTACCAGCAGCTAAAAAATTGTGGTGCTTTGCATCACCGCCACATTTGCCTCGTCTCTCGCGCCACAGTGTCCCCTTTCCCTGTCCGCTGCTCCCCTCCGGCCATGCGACCGTGGCAGCTGCTCTTTCTCCCTCGACACAGTCCTGCTGCCACGTTCCAGTCCCTGCGGGTACAGCTAAGCCATTTGTCCCTCACCTCCATGGCCCCTGCACACATACCCTCACATGTAACCAGGCATGTCCTGCCATTCTGCTGCTTTCTCACACCTCCAGGCGCTGTGGCACAGGGTGCTGCTGGGGCAATGCTGGTTCCTCATGCCCCAGGTCCATCTCCAAGCCTCTTGTCCCTGCTCTGAGCTGGCTTTGTCATGCTCAGCTCTGTCCCAGTTGCATGGGACAGGTACCCATGGCATGGTGCTGCCCTGGAGCAGGGACCTGGAGAGATGCCACGTGGCAGGAGCAAGGCAGGAGCATGCACTGGGGCTTGGCTTGCTCTGTCTGTAGCTGTATCACCCGCTTGCAGGTGCCTGGCTCCCACATGGCCCTCCCCAGTGCCCTGCAGACTGGGGCTGAAGCTTTGACGGGTCCCTGACATGGGATGAGGATTGGGGATGACAGCAGGGACGGTGAGACACAGGGCTAGAGGATGGGGAAGAAGGAGGGCGGATCAAGCAGGGTTGCTCCAGGGGAAATGGGGTCCCTTTGCATGCTCAGAGCTGCTCCCCCCAGGCTGGCCGTGGCGGGGCTGATGTCTGTGGGGCTGAGGGATGGCCAGGGACAGAGCAGGGCAAGCGGGTCCAGCGCCTGTGATCTGTGCGGTGGTGCCAGCCGTGGGTGATGAATGGGTCTGCGCGGGGAGGGCGGTCAAGGCTTGCTACTCTGATGAGAAAATCATCGAGTGGCTGCAGGGTGCACCGGGCAAATTGCAAAAGAAGAGAGCAGTCAGGCCATTCTCCCAGCCTTTCATCATCCCCAGAGCAGCCTGGTGACAGCCATGCCCGGCCAGGGAGCAAGCTCTGGCGGCACCCATGGCTGGATTTATGCCGACTATGGTGGACAGGCTTTGTCTCACTTGGGGCCTGGCAGCAGACTGAGCAGGAGGGGGGCAAGGACCTCCCAGGGCAGTAGGGGGGAATCTGCTGCCTCTGGCCATGGGATTTCATGAGGATACAGGGGTGGGGACAGAGCAGGGTGGCACATCCCTTCCTACACACCTATCCCTGCACCCTGCAGAGATAATGCCGTGCTCAGGGACCACCAACCCCCAGGCGACCAAGCTGGTGGCACCAACAGCCACCCTGCCACTCACACCATGTTGCCCCAGGCTAGCAAGGTGCACAGCACCATCCTGCACCCAGGGATATCCCACAGGCTGGGACCTCTCTCCTGCCCCCACCCGCTGCTGCCCGCTCAGGCGTGCATGGGCAGGGAGAGGAGGAGGGATGATGGGTCCTGCCTGCACGCACGCAGCCCGCTGCAGGGCTCAATAATTCAGGCCTGACACATTAAAGTTGCATGGCGTGCAATCGCCGTCTGCAATGACAGACTGCGTCAGGGCTGCTGTCTGGTGAGCCCGGCCCGGCAGGCACGGGCAGGCGGCGGGCAATGGGCAGAGCATCCCTGCAGTGGGAGTTAGGGGTGGGAGGAGGTTGTGGAAGGAAGCACGGTCCTGGCCCTTGGGTTACACATTTCCAGGGAGCATGTGTCGGAGCAGGGAATGCCGGCTCAATGGCACTGACAGCCCGGCAGGGCTGGGCTGGGCTGGGGGCTGAGCTGGGGTGATGCTGTCCCCAGGGCCACCCCCTTCTCCTGCATCGCCTGTGTCCCCTGCAGCCACCCTGGCAGGACAGAGGCCACAAAGGCTTGTGGTGCCCCAGGCACCCGGCCAAAGCCCTTCCCAGCTGTGTCTGTTTCATCCCTGCAGCCCCACCTGCCCTGGTGGGGCTCGAACACACCCCCCCCCATCCCTCCCCAGCACCGAGGAAGCGAAGCTCTTCACCGGCTGTTCCCGGAGTCGGTTGCCATGGGGATGTCAGATGTACCTGGTTGTTATAGGGACACTGTTGCCATGGTTATGTGGTTGCTGTGCCTGGCAGAGACAAGGATGGAGCATCAGGAAGGCTGTTTGCATTGGGAAGGGGGGGAGTCACAGAGACCCCAACTCCCTGAGCTGGTGGGGGAAAGGCAGATTCCAGCCTTCTCCTCATGCACAACCCCACAGGGCCAAGGCTGGAATTATAGAATCATGGAATGTTTTGGGTTGGAAGGGACCCCTAGAGGTCATCTAGTCCAACCCCCCTGCAGTGAGCAGGCTGGAGACCATGGGGAGCTCGCCAGCCCCATAGGGATGGGCAGGCCGGTGCTCCTGACCCCGCCACAAAGGGGAGGTGGCTGAGGGGACGTGGAGTCTCCTGCGGGGTGTCCCAGCACACTCCCAGTCAAGGCTTGGTGGGAGAGACAGCCCCGCACACCCTGTGCCAGGTGTCCTGCAGGAGAGAGCGGCTTCACCACGCTTGGTGCCAGCAGCAGTGAGCAAAAACCTT